CAAACAATGCAAAAACAACGTAAGAACCCTAACCCTAACCCTTACCCTTACCCTTACCCTAACCCTTACCCTAACCCTTACCCTTACCCTAACCCTTACCCTTACCCTAACCCTTACCCTAACCCTTACCCTTACCCTTACCCTAACCCTTACCCTAATCCTAACCCTAACCCTTACCCTAACCCTAACCCTTACCCTTACCCTAACCCTTACCCTAACCCTTACCCTAACCCTAACCCTAACCCTTACCCTTACCCTTACCCTTACCCTTACCCTAACCCTAACCCTAACCCTTACCCTTACCCTTACCCTTACCCTTACCCTTACCCTTACCCTTACCCTTACCCTAACCCTTACCTTAACTTAAATCACGCTTCTGTCGGCGCGCTGTTGTCGGCGCGTTGATGATGTCGCGGTTTTAGCTCCGTGGTTTTGTCAGCGTGGTTTTGTCGTGCGCGCATTTGTCAGGTCACGCCAGATGTGGAGGGCACATGGCAACAGGACTGTTTCCCCCCCCTCTTACTCTAGGTGTTTTGTGAGTAACTTAGAAGTTACTTTTAGTTTTCAGGATTCTAAATCACAAGGGGCCTCAGCTGAATTTCCTTCTACATACAGAAAGGCGCAACCCAAAAGCATCCCATTTCCCTCCTCATGAGTAAGGAGAACACATACTTAGAATTCCTGATATGGTCTTCTGAGCACTATCCACATTTTACTGTTAGTGTGAGATCTGTGATTTTAATATATTTATTTTGTTGCTTAATATGTTTTTGGAATGCTGAGAAACCAAACTGCATTTTGCAACTGGCAGAACCTGGAAATGGCTGTCCAATTAGATGTATACACAACATGTGTAATTACTAGTTAACAGCTTTAATGCCTAGCCAAGATTGCTTTACAAATTCACATGTGGATGAGAAACTGCTGCGTTAAAGCATGGCTCTAATTTAAAACCCAGCCAACTTGTTTTGGAATGTATTCCCTACGGCTCCTGATAGGTTCTATACTTCAAACCAGAAGTGACATCTGGAATACTCAAGGAAGAAAGCAACACTCTTATTTATTTAAGAAATTGCATCTTCTCTTATGTTGACGAAGCTATTAGCTTGCATGGAATATTTAAGTATATTCCTAAAACGTATGGTTTTCTGAGATTTGGCTGAAAAACTCTTTTTCCACCATAGCATTCAAAATGTGCAGATAATTTCTGACCCGACGCATTTCTAGAATAGGCCAGTATTATAAATCCATGATTCATGATCCATGATAAGAGCCGAGGTGGCGCAATGGTGAGGGTGCAGTACTGCAGGCCACTTTAGCTGACTGTGATCTGCAGTTCAGCGGTT